GAGACAGAGAGCAACATCCTAGCCATTCAGGACCAGTGCATTAGAACTCGTAACTACGAGAAGCACATCCTGAAGCTGGATGTGGAAGACCACTGCAGATGCTGTCATGGACCACCCGAAACGGTTCACCACCTCCTCAGTGCCTGCCCCGAACTAGCCCCGAGGGAGTACTTTATATATATATATTTGAAGTTACCACAAGGGAGCACATTTTTATGTGCTAATAAGTTCAAAAACATGCACAAACATATGCACTTAAAAATGTCAAAATATGCATGAATGCTAAAGAATATGCAAAAACATTTTTTTAATAATGCAGTTTGAATTTTTTGGAAAAGGAACTTCTATTAAAGTTTCATGCCTCTACTGGGTATAGTAGATCTATTGCTGTCACAGTCAGCAGCAAAGCCAGGAACTCACCAATGAACAGCTAAGGGAAACGAATAGGGGCCAGGATTTCCCAAACTTCTCAGGAGTAGAGGGTAGATTTAGGGTGGGTTAGGGGGCTTTGCCACCTCAACCCCCCCCACCCCCTCCCATTGCTACACTACTGGTCACAGTACATAACCACTCGAAAATTTTTATTGGTAGCTCATAAAAAAATCATTCCTGGAAAACCCTTATTTTTCCCCCCAAAAGGGTGAAATAGGCATTATGCATAAATATGCACATGCTGAGAAAAAACTAAAAATATGCATTTTTATGCATTTTTAAAATGCCAGAAATCGCCTCCTCTACCAATAAGGCATGATCCTACCAGGGTTGCATGTTCCTAGGAGGCTGTAGAAAAAATATGCATTTGCTAAAATCCACTCCCTAGGTATCACCCAAACTGCTGAAACTTCTGAAAATCTATCATGATGAATTTGATATTTTATCATCACCAACACCTACATACTGACATCCTGACTTAGCTGCTTGTGAAAATTTTGACCCTTTTCTTCACATTCCCTCAAACCCCTTTTCCATTGGGACATTGTGGGTCTAAATGTGAAACCATGTCAAGATGAAGTTGCCAAGAGCAATACCACCAACTTGTTTAACCTTTACATGCTGAATGTTGTCATATTTGAACAGCATGGAATCTTCCTTTCCACACATGCCAGGTCCATCAATAAGTACTCAGCCTCACTCACAAATGAAGCATGCACAGATTTTATTTAACTCTCAATATAATGAAAATCATGCCCAATGACACGCTGCCAACGATCGTGCAACATTCTAATACCAGCTTCCTAAAAATATTATTCTTGCAGTCAAACCATTCTTGCATGGTCAATTTCAGCTCATCATTGGCACAAAAATTGCATTTCTCAAAGATCCTTTTTAGATTTGTAAAGAGTCTGAGTCATTTCCAGACAATATGCTGAGTACATGGCTCCAACTCACTATTGTCTGTTTGCAAATCTGAAAAAGGACCTTCCAGAAATGCATTTTGGTGATGACAAACTGAAATCTACCATGCAAGAATGGTTTACAGTAAGAAGAATCCTTTTACAAATATGGCATTAGAATGTTACATGATCTTTTGCAGCAGGTCATTGAACATTATTTTCATTACATTAAATATTGCTAATAAAATAAAATCTGTGCATGTTTCATTTGAAAGTGAGGCTGAGAACTTATTCATGGACCTGGTATAAAAGGAAGATTCAATGCCATTCATGGAAACATTCAGCATGTAAATGTTAAGCATTTCAACTCTCTAATTGGTATGTGTAGCATTTATACCAGTTAGCCTACACTGAATAAACACTTGAAAAAGTGAAAAGGTCTTCATAAACTTTGCCTAGGCTTCTTTGTGAGACACTCAACAATGACCCATGAGTGAAGGGACTTAAGGAATGAAGAGGAAACTGGTTTCAGTGGTGCTACCCTTTTCTTCTGGTTCTAGGGTGTTTGACAATTTTACTTGCATAGCTTCATTTACATGCCCATTACACTTGTCTGAATTTTCCAACACACCTTTAAGAGTTCCCATTCCATATTTTATAAATAAACTTCTTCTGGGTGTTTGCTTTGGCCAATTAGTACAATTCCCCCATCTTCCACTAAAATTCTGATCTATTTCATAATGCACTGTTATGAGCTTGGGTATCAAATTTGATTTGAAATAGCTCAAAATCTCTTAACATTTTTTTTTGCATAGCTTATGAATGTATTTGGGAGGCAGTATCTTGTTGCAAAGAGGAAGCTACACTTCCTGGTGGTATTGACAAGCACTGTAGTGACCAGCTGAATGGTGAATTTATAACAGGGTTGGTACACTAGTTTTCTTGGATTAAGTTATTAATGGTTCATGTGATGTGCTGTGATGAATCTAATACAGCCTAACTTGATTTTAAGGTCCTTGATTACAGCAAAAATCACTATCCAGTCCTGGACTAAAGACTGAAGAGATAATTCAGCTCAAATGATCAAAAAGGTAGTTGTGTCTCCAACAGGGAGCTGCTTTAAATTTGTTCAAAGCAAGTTGGCCTCCTTGAGTTATGAAAAAATTTTAAAAAGCTATATTTGGCCTTAATTGAGACAGGGAAGTGCATGTGTGTTAATATTACAATTGCACTAAAGCTGAACAATTTGATTGGGGCATTTTCCTTGTAAGAAAAAGAAATGACAGCTTCAAAATTTTCAAAACATGAAAATTTAGAACTGTGGAAAAGATGGAAAGTATTCTACATGAATATTCATTCTACACCCTCAAAACTTCAAGTGATTTCTTGATACACTAGTACATGTTTGTGAACCAAATTTAATCAAGATTGCTCAACTCCTTGGTCATTCTATTATTTTGGCAATCAGTATATGATGTTTGAAACTGGAAATATAAACCATGAAGAGTGAATTAATTTTGGCAAAACTGGACTTTTCAATTTGAAACTTCTGTTGCTTCGTACAAAGTATAAAAATGAAATGTGACTATATTGCTATGAACTGCTTCCAAAAAAGTTCAAAATCCTCAAGGTACAGAGTGTCTGCCTATGAACAACTTTTTTAATACTGAATCTAAGGGAACCCCATTTCCTTATTTTTTTTTTAGCTGTTGATTGATTGTTTCTCAGAATTGTGTCATATATTTAATTTCTCCCCTCTTGTATGAAAAAAATGCCTTTCTCTCTCTCTCTTTTTTGAAATGTTGCACTCCATACTTCTGTCCTGTTATTGAAACAAGGGTCTGGTAAATGAATTTTCAGTTATTTTGACCCACTCTTCCTTCAGGGGGACTAACTTCAGGTCAGCACATCTTGAAAATTGCTGGAACCATATTTCTGAATGTAACTGTTCCATAACTCAGGAAGGCACAAGAAACATGAATTTTTTTTTTGCCAAAGGCAAATACCTTTTGGTGATGCAACTAGGTACCTGAAATTTGATCACTTGAGTTAAAATGCTAGAATGAAGTGTATTCATACTTCACCTACCACTAGCTCAATTTATGCAAGAACCTGCCATAGTTGTCCATTTTTGTCCCATAACAAAATTAACAATGATACCAATTAATGTATTTACAGGGTGCGTAAGAAGTTCTGTTACAAACTTTGGACTCACATAGAATGTCTCCCGGGTAGAATCTTTTACAAGCCTATGGGCGTGTGACTTGTATGGACATGTAGCTTAAAGTTGCAGATGAAGCAATGGTCTCATCAGTTCCTATCATTTTTTGTGCCAAAATGAATGCACAACGTGCAGCCATCATTGAGCTTCATCTCAGCGGAAAAACACCACCAGAGATATTCAAAGACCTCTCAGGCCAAGGCACGAATCGTATGTTCATTCATCGCACCATTAAACGATATCAGCAGACCCACTCTATCCAGGATCGTGAGAGAAGTGGACGCCCAA